AGGATGCTTCCAAACTTTCAAGTGTACATCACTATCATATGCCTCTGAAATTAAACACCCCTTTTTTACTATAGAGATGCTTAATTTCAGATACTAACAAAATTGCTAAATTTTCAATTTCAGAAGCTATGTAAAAATAATAAATGCTTTATATTTCTAATACGTTTCTTTTAGGAGTTATATAAAAGAATCTGTAAAATAAGTTTTGCAAAAGTGAATATAATTTAGCAGTAATTCTAAATATATTAATGGTGAATGATAATGATGATAATAGTAGTATTGATGGTGATGACAATTATTAATAATGATGAAAGAAATATTAATGACAAAGAATTCTTTTAAATAAAATAAATAAAAAATATTGAAATTTATAAAATTTTTAATAAATCAGGTTTGTTTTAGCATTTATTTTATTTTTGAATACTAAAAATGTGATAGTGTTTATTTTCAGATAGTAAAAAAATAAGATAATACTTATTTTTAGGAAGTGCTTATTTTTAGAGAAATACAGTAATTAAAACTAATATAAAAGATGATAATACATATTTTTCTTTATTTTATAGTAATCTAACATAATATTATCTAAAAAAAATATAATTAATTATTAATTATAATTGTTTGAAATTAGAATTTAAACAAAAAAAAATAATAATTTTTTTTTGAAAAAATACACTTTTAAAGTGTAAAAAATCTAAAAAAATAAATTTTATATAAAAAGAAAAACAAAGAATTTATTATATTTATATTTTAAAAAATTCATAATTATTTATAATTTACTATTTTAAAGTTCAAAATTTATTAAAATAAAATCTGTTTAAAAAATCATTCTTTATTATATATTTTAAGAAATTAAATTTTATAACTAAAAATATTAATAACTAAATTTACTTATTTATTTTAAAATATATTAAAAGTTATCAATAAAAAAATAAAATTATTAAATCTAAAATATTTTTGGTTAACGTTACTTTTTAGTAAAATTTTTGATTATATTTTATATTTTTTTTTTGATTAGATTTAATTTTATTTTAAATGTATAATAATACATATACTATTAAAATACTTAAAGGATTTAAATTAACCATTAAAATACTTATTATATATTTATAAAAATTATTATCAATAAATTTTTAAATATTTATTTACAATAAACTTTCTTTTTTCACTTTTAAATAAGCTATTTATTTAATTCTTAAAGTTTATACTAAAATTTTTATTATTAGATTTTGATCTATTTTTACTTTTATATTTTAATAAAACTTGATAGTTTAGAATGTTTTCTCAAAATCTATTTAGAATAATAAGAAAATCTATAAAGACTATTATATTTAATGTTTCTTTAAATAATTCTTAAAATCTTATAATAAGAAAAAGATCTATTTAATAGATATCTGATTAGAAAAATTTTAAATATTAATATAATTTTTAGCAAAATGAAACTAACAAACTGCAAAGTTTAAGCTATTTTAAACTGATTTATAATTAGATTTAAGTTAAATTAATTTTAAATTATTTTATCTGATTGGAATCAATCAGTAGTAATTTAAACAATCAGAAAATATAACTAATTAGCTGTAAATTATATTAAAATTAGTTTAAATTTAGCTATTGATTTTTTGTTAATTTGAACTATTTTGACTAGTATTAATATATAGATAGTAATTAATAGAAAAGAAAAAATTTAAATTTTGATAAAAATTTTTTTAATTGAATTACTTGACTGATTATATTATATACTTAAAATTAACTTAAAACTAAAATTAGCAATAATTTAAGATTTTCCTTTTTTACTAATATTCTTTTAGATATAAATTTATATATAAAATATATTTATAATATTTAACAAATACAAAAATTATATGTAAAATAAATTTATAATTATAAAATATATAAATAATTATATGTAAAAGATATAATTTAAATATATATTTTTAATTATTATATTATTATATATAAATTTATTAATATAAAAAATAAATTAATAATTAAAAAGTTAAAATTAAAATTAATAAAATAAAATAAAAATCAATAAAATTAAAATAACATTAAAAATAAAATTAAAAAATTAAAAAATTAAAATTAAAAATAATTATTTATTATATTTTTTTTTGCAGTATTTCTTTAATCTAATTTAATATTAATAAATATAAATTTTAAAAATAAGTATTTATTAAAAAAAATATAATTTATCATTTGAATGATATATTATCTAATCACATGATTATATTTATCATTATGATATACTTCTATGTCTTTTAATTTTATTATGTATTTTACAAACTTAGAATTATTTACTTAAAAAATATATCTATTCTATCTTATCTATTATATAGGTTATTTTTATAATTTTGTAATTCTACCTGAAATTTTATAATATAGGTCAATTATGTAATAAGATGATATATTATCTAGATAATAACTATTTATTAATATATATAAAAAAAATAAAAGTTTAAATAGATTTCTTACTTTTTTTATTATTAATAATTAAATATATATTTTTATTTTTTAATATATAAAACTTAAATATCTTTAATATAACATATATTAGAGTTTATATAGGTTTATAAATTAATTTTAACTAAAATTGTATAGCCTTGCAAATTTTTGACAAAATGTTATATTTTTTATATATACTAACTTATTATTGAATATATTATATTTTATATAAAAACTATTTATTATATCATCTAAATTTAATAAACTTAGGCAAAAAAATATTAAACTTAAGATTGAGAATATAAATTAAGATAGGAGTTTAATGTCAGAAATAATAAGTTGAAGAAAACTGTAGAGATTAATAAACTTAAAACCATAATAATGAAAAATAAGTCAGCTATTACTAAACTCGAGTCTGAGAATGCTGAGTTTAGGCAGAGTTGGCATTTAGTCATTTAACCATTTGGCTATAGCTAAAATAATCAAATTTTATTTTAAGTTTTGGCTAGCTAAAAATATTATTTTTATATACAGTTTATGCAATTTGCGCTTTTAACAGTTGGGACATTCAATTTAAATACAATTTTGCAAAAATTGATGTTTCTGACTTTAAAATATTAAAATTGCAATTAATTGATCATCCTAAACATTTGAAATGTTAATATTTGCAAAATTACAATAAATTGAACATTCCAAACGTTAGAGATGCCAATTTTTGTAAAATTGTAAGAATTTAAGCATCCACATTAAAGGCGTCAATTTTTGCAATTCTGTAATAAATTGAATATCCCAAACGTCAGAAGTGCATTTTGCAAATAAACTGGCCAATATTTGTAAAGTCATGAGACTTTTGACCGATTTAGCCAATTGGCAATTTTGAAGCAACCAAAATGGCCATTGGTTGTAGCCAAATTAGAACAGGATTATATACAAGATAATGAGAAAGTGATACCAGAAGTGTTATCAGAGATAACGGTAATAGCTGTTAATGTATAGTAATATTATGGATCAATGTGATAAAAAGTCATCAGATGGGATCAGTGATACTGGATAGGAAAATGGATGTTTTCTTAAATGAGGTACGTAAGAAAAAGGTTAGTACTAATATGTGAAAAAGTCTCCGATTTCTCAGAATCCTATGTCTACTACTTAATTGACGGACAGGAGTTAATTCAAAAAATTCTCGGTTCAGATGCATTAGCACTCAGGATAAGTATGATTGAAATATCTCAGCATTTGGATTAGTTATGTGATAAAGCACTTATCGCAGAAGAGTGTATATTAGAAGCAAATCACGAAGAATATTTTGCTAGCACCATTATGGAAGAAATTTTGTATTTCAGGAGAAAGCCTTATGTGATAAGGATATAAATTGGCAAGAAGAAGGCGAAAGGTTTAATCTACGATGAAGTCATGAAGCAACTTAACATCCTTTGTAAGAAAAGATCTCAAGATACAGGGTTACCACTTCTATATGTATCGAGGGATAGTTTATGTAAAAAAACTCAGAGGACTGTATAGGTCTACAAACTGTTTGAAAAGGTAGGATAGGATAAAATAAAATATATTAGGTTATACAGCACGAATGAAATATCAAAGTTTACTAACGAAGAAATTCAAAGAATTGTTCTGTAATCCAATTAAACAAAGTACTTTCAATTTCCAGATAGTAAGGCAATTTTGCGTTATATAATTTGGTAGTTTTTGGTGAAGCTTTGATTAATTTATCTTTTTTACCTATCCATTAACGTAGTTGTTTTGGTTGAATATTAATTTTTCTTACAATGTTCTTTAATGCCAATTTTATGTTCCTTGTAATTAGCAATAATTTCTAACTTTTCTTTGGCATTTCTTTCAATTTTTTTTGATATACGAGTTTTTAAAGAACTTCTTTTGCTTTTTTATGACCATTTCAAATAATCATGAATATTTTATTAAAAAGAAACGTTCATTTGTAAATTTCGCAAACAATAACTAAAATTATTAAAGACCCACTCCAAAGAATTTAAAAAAAAAATATTGTTTATATTTATTACAGTTAAGGAAAAACAAAGAAAAATATTTCGTGGCGAATTAACAAAGAAGTTAGGAATTTTTGCATTTTTCTTAAAATATTTTACCATCGAAATTCCGCATTAAAATTTTAATCTACGGGGGGGGGGTATTTTAGACCGCGAAAATACGGGTAAATTAGTATAAAGCAGTCATGTGGGATCGATCGATCACTTGAAATGCGCAGTGCGATATAGGAAAAATTCTTGCCGTGCAACGTAAGGTTTGATTTCTTAAGCTCTAACAAAAAATTCTGTTTAGCTGACGCGTAATGAAATAAGCTCCTTGATAGACAAACAATTAGAGAACAAACAACTCCATTTAAGTTTACATAAATAAATCATGCATATAGCAATTGATTAATTGATAATTTACATCATTTACGCAGAACACGTGTATTCGTTTCAAACGACTTTCTGATTGTCTATTCTCTCATCAATTCTATACAACTCTCAACTCTCATCAATTCTATTCAACTCTCAATTCTCCAACTATCAACAGCAACTAAAATGGCTATTGACATCCCCATCCAACTTGGTTTCGATGAAGAAGAAACAGAAGTGTTTAATGGGATGACCGCACGAGAAAGAGGGGGATTTAACCGCCTGAGAGACGACAATTCAAGAATTGTATATGTTCAAGCACTCGTGATCTTGGAAAGAAAAATCTGTATGTTTAGCTAAAAGAAACATATTTTTGTCAGAACATTTTACTAAAACTGTTTTAGCGCCTTCGCCGTTTTTTTCGTTAGGACCTTGGTCAAAACCTAGTTGGCTGTGGTCTCAACGTGGCTGCCCTATCTGTACTTATTATCCTTGCTTCGACTGAATACAAAATTGACGAAGAAAAACTAAAATTATTTTCATCCGCTGATTTTTATCGTTGAGATTTTCTGTGAGACTTATTACATGGAATTTATTGATATAGAGCCCTCTAATGATTCACCTGTCCTCAACTAATAGAGTTGGAATAGAACATTTTTTTTTTTTTAACAGGATTTACGTGATATTCACTTGATTAGTAATTTAAAACATCTCGTACGACCAATATTCTTAAAGATTCAAAAAAATTTTTGTTTCTTAATAATAAAATTTTGAAATGAAATTACAATCTTTAACACGCCTAGTAAGTTTAAAAAAAAGGCCTTCATTTTATTTCAAAATTTTTTTAAACAAAGACGACGAATAACTTTTATGTCATCTACGCTATAGGTTACTTTAGGTAGACCACTTACTTCTAATAACTTAATTACTTCACTTACAAGGAATGCAAATAATGGAATACGAAGCCCTTCAATTCCCTCGATTTTATGCAGACATATTTCAGACTCTATGAAGAAAACGTTGGATGAGGTATCATTATCATGAATCAAAAGGTGTTTAAAATATCTATTTACTATCTTGTTAATTTTAAATTCGTTTACAGACTGTGAATAAGAATGACGTTGTTTTATTCATGAAGGGCACTCCCGAACTTCCAGAGGTAAATTTAGAGACGTGGTTGATAATTTTTAAAAAGATATTTATTAAACTTATTTAATTAATTTATAGTGCGGATTTAGCAGAGCCGTTGTTCAAATTTTCCAAGTTCAAGGTAACATATAAAATCATCATTCTTTCTACTTTATATTAGTAAATTAATGTCCTTTTTTTTTATTTGGAACTAGGTGTGGATTTTTCAAAGATCAAGACATTCAATGTTTTAAAAGATAATGAATTAAGACAAGGTGTCAAAGAATATTCGTACGTACAAGAAGAGGAAAAGAAAAAGGTTACCTGAAAAGCTTTTTGTAAAAATTATGGTTTTTTAACATTATTTTTTATTTTTCCCCCTTTTAGACAATGGCCGACTGTTCCACAAGTATATATTAAGGGAGAATTTGTTGGCGGTTGTGATATCATGCTCAATATGCATCAATCCGGAGAATTAGAAGAGTTATTATTGAAACAAGGATTAATTGCCGAAGAATCGGAAAAGGAGGAGTAGATTTGAAAGAAGAAGAAAAAATTTTTATTTTGTTTTTATTTATAAAGTTAGAACATTAAATAAGATTATTTAATACATATGTAAATCTCTAAATCGATATATATATATAAGAATAAAGAGAATATAATAAATAATAATAATAATAATAATAATAATAATAATAATAATAAGATACATTCAAATCTACGTGTGTATAAATAAATAAATAAATATGTATATAGTAAAACAATTATGTATATAGGAATCTACTTTTTCATCAAACCCAACAACACGATTCATCATCTCTTCTTATGTGAATATACGTGAGTAGTAGAAGTAAAATTTGATTTACGAAGTTTATCAACGATCTGATAAACTTCATAATCGACCACTTGGAAAACCAAATTACTCGAATTGGCGGATTTCCAATAAATAGACCGCTTGCCATCAGGAAAGGCCAACAAGTCGTCATCACCAAAGCAAGGACCGTAACCAGATTTTTTATGTATGGCAAATCTACCCAATCTAACGAAATCCGCCTTTCCATTATCAAACTCAAAGATGAAACTATCATTAGTTGCGCGATCAAATTTCCAATCTAGAGGGTTATAACCCCCGTATATTGCGGTAGAATTGTTGATCTTGAACACGACCACGGTCTTTTGAATGTTACCACAACGTTGATGAAACAAATCCGGTGAGAACCCATCTCGTTGACCTCGTAAAACCAATCGAAATTCATAAGGAATTTCCGCGGGTCTGTACATGATGTCATCCTTTCGATCAATCCAACTTGTGAGTAAAGTGGCGTGACAGATATTAAGTATAGTGTTATTAAATTGCGTGGAAATAGGCGATGTGATCACCGTAGATGACCCACACGCATTCTTCAACTGATGCCTTAATGCCACATCAAATTTGTCGGCGGGTAAAAAAGGCTCACATGGAATCAATAAATCATGAAATTCATTCCAATTCATTGACATGATACTATTCCATGGAATGCATTGACTTAGGGTATACTTGAACTCGTTCCAATCCTTTTTATTCCAACCCGAAACTTGATTACCCAATTTAGGTATTTGAAATCTCGCCCAGTTAACGATAAACCCCCATAATGATTCGTTTAATTTAATATACTCGCAATAATCAAGCGATGTCAAAATGTTTGGGGAAAAGCTGGTTGGGGATTCGAAAATTGATAGAGGGTTGTACGCAATCTTTGAGGTGTAATGAATCTGAAGTTTTTGTAAGGATTCATGATTATAAATCTTTTCATGATATGTGATGAAATTTCGATCCATCCATTCGGTTTGTCGGTGAATTAGATTTTCTTGAATATGCTCCAAAAGTTCAATCAATTTTAATTCTTCGGCCGCAAAAAGGAGATCAAAACATTCGATCCCACTACAATTCAGCAAATCAACTTTACCACTATAAATGTATCTACGAACACAAAAAAAAAAAAAAAAAAGAGAGAAATTAATTTTGTTAGGTCACAAGTTTACAAGTAACACCTTGGTTGCACATACTTTAAAATAATCTCGAATATCGGAGGGGAAATGTTTGAATTACTAAGAATAATCTTGTCGTATGAGGCTTTAACCGTCTTGCTAGACAATTGATTTTGAAACCAAGATGACCTGGCTCGAAGAATAAGTGAATGTGCTGGAAATTCTTTCAGGTTATCCCCTTGACCCACACGAATGATCACATCATAAAAAGCCGAGGTATCAAATAATTGCATGAGGTCGCGAGACAATTTGGTGAGTAAATGAAATGACATGTTGTAATTATGGTTTTTATTATTATTATTTTAGTCTTTTGATAATTCTATAGGGAAAAACGAGATAATCAATCGATTTTGGGAAAAAAAAAAAAAAAAAAATGAAATAAAGGAAGGAGAAATATGGTTTAATATATATCTCTTGTTGTCCAATAGCATATTATTGATTAATGCATAAAGCTGCAACAAATCAGCTTTTTGGTGCTACAATTCCATTTATGATCTCGATTTATATTTTTTTTTAATGCAAAAAACGCAGGGACAAAAGATAAACAGTTATGTAACATACGGATTAATATAGAGATATAGAATCTTTTACGAGTAAATCTTAATACGGAAAAACAACGAAAGATATATGCGTATGCTGTAGAAATGTCAAGCTAAAATTAATTTCAAAGAACAGATAATTGATCACCAAAAATTTGATCTTTATAAAAGAAACTCAATAAAGATATTGAATGAGATAACCTTAGATTTCTGGATTTTACGTGATCAAATCTAATCTTTTTTTGGAATTCGAATGATATGTTTTCTGTGCGCCCAGACATTAAGTTACAGCGTAGAAAAAAAAGATATTAAAAAGGAAGAAACTTTAAATCAAATCATTTGTTTGGATCTCACGCGTGTAAAAAAGGCATCTTTTTGTAGTACTTTTGATTATCTTTACTTAAAAAGATTTCATTCCTTGAACTTTTTTTTTTTCTGTGCACACGGTTTAAGTAATCATTACCTATTTCCATTTTTTGATTATACCATGTTTTTTTAAAGTTGACGTAAATTATATAGTGAAAGTGAATTGTTAAATGATATTAAGTCGAAATCCTCTGATCGTTACTCTCTTACACCATTTCTTTATCAAAACACCAGAGATACCGTGATACCCGTTGATTTCAATATATCAAACACATTTTCGTTAACTCGTTCCAAAAATATAGTGTCAGCCAGAATTTAAGTTGTATAAATTGTTACCTCACATGATTGAATATTACCACGTGATAACAAATTAATTTCACAAACTAGAATTATAATTTAATTTAATTTTTAAAGAACAAAAATTTTAAGTTCGTGGAACCCAGTTTTTATAAACGTCGATTAGGCCACACACAAACTCCGTTTTTCGATTCAAACTTCGAAAAAAAATTTTTATGCGTTTTTTATCATAAAATTTGTCTGATGGACTTGTTTTAAAAAAATTGATCAAAAATTTTATTATAAAAATCAAATAAAATTCAATGTAAGTGAACCGAAAGTTAATGAAATTTTACGCGTTTAATTACGACATTCAAACAGTACTTCAAACTATTTGAACGTGAAAATAGAAGAAATCAACAATGAAATTATCGGTTGATGTATTCTAGCACATCGCCTTATTGGTTGTAATTGTGTCTACTCTACCAGCTGCTCCCTATTGAGATTAATGCTCCGCATGAGCCGAAAGGTTTATTATTATTGTAAAGAACTTTTTGCAAAGCTATAAGGTGTTGAATGCATTTATCATGATTACTACATCTTGTGATATATTGTATTTATGCGAATAGATGAAAAAACAAAGCTTTGCGCATATCGTAAATTTTTGTTTTAATGGATGCATGCATTTGTTCTTCAAATCAAAAATTCTAGAGTTGAGAATATTCACGTAAACTTTCAATAATGGATTTTTTTTTTTTGAACGAGACGGAATTTTTACGTGGTTATTTTTCTTTCTTTGACAAAGGTATCTTATCTACACTTCCACCCATTGGATAGGGATGTTAATCAATGTGAATTAATTAACCGTCTAATAATTGGTTGAGATGTATGCAAATGTACGAGCAATCTTTATCTTTAAAAATTTCTATTTCAAGGAATTTCCGGTATTTGCGGTTGCGTAGAAAATCACTGCGAAAAAAATTTAAAGTATTGTGCCTCCCCCTAATTTATTTTGTGATTTCTTTTTTTTTTGGACGGGACCAATAACGACAATTTGTACTTGTTTGTTTTGAAAGAAAAAAAAATACACATTAATAAAATTATGATGCGACATATAAATAATAAAGGGGGGTATGGAAATTCTTTAGCCTTCTATTAATGATCTCAAAAAAAAATAAACAATTTTGTTTTTGAAATGAATTTCTCAATTTAGAAAAATGATTCTATACTTATTTGGTTAACAAATTGTGCCCATGCAAATTATTAATTGGTGATACCACAAACTTTGACATTAATTCGTTAAAAACATAAAAAATAAAAAAAAAATAAAAAACTTTAAAACTCATTCGGAACTTGTAACCTTGGTAAAACTGAAACTATCGGGATTTTGCTGAAACTGGATTTTCATTTTAAAAAAAGTTTTTCAATATAAATGATAATGCATTTCTTTCCCTTTATTTTTTTTTTTTTAAATTTTTTTTTTTCTTTTCATCCAAAAAAAAAAAAGGTTCTCTCATTTCATTCCATATAATTTCATTCACTAATTTTTACCTACTTAAAACGATCTTTGAATATGGGAAATCATTTAGAGAAACCTGAAGAAATTTTGAAAGGCATCGAAACTTCACATTTTGCAAAGAAATTAAGAAGGGCAATTATCAAAGACAATCATCATGTTTGCCAAAAAAAAAATCGAGAAATCCTGGATAATCGAATCCATTTAAAAATCATTGAAGACTTGATGCATTCGTACTATCGATATATCTGGAATAGTAACTTTTCTTCTCCTGTGGAACAAATGTTGCAAAGTGGTGCGAATGTACTTGACCTTGGGTATGTATAAAGATATCCCTAATTTCTCTCTCTTTTTTTTTTAAAAAAATTAAAAACTAAATAAAACTTTTTATTTAACAGATGCGGATTTGGGCAATGGCTCATTGATCTTGGTAAAGAATATCCGGGGTGCGATTATGTGGGAATCGATTATGAAGAAAATTTTCAAAGTCAATTTAACGTTCCAAAAAATGTAAAGTTTCTCAAGCACAACTTTCTTCTTAATGGCATTCCGTATAAGGATAATACATTCGATTTCATTCATATGAAGATCATTATGAAATATTTTACGGAAGCTGAATGGAAAACCCTTATGGTGCCAGAAATTTTTCGAGTTTGCAAGCCCGGTGGTTGGATTGAAGTATGGCAACTATTTTTAAAGTTCATTTGCTTCGTGTGACTGATCGCATGTTAAACAAAATAAACGCTCTTCTGTAAACTTTAGATCATGGATTCAGATTATGAAGTTTTTAACATTGGACCTAAAACGAGAAATTACCACCAAGCGCGTAAGATCGATTTATATGAAATTATCAACGAAATGTTTATCATGTTTTGCCATTTGCTAATCTAATGCAAAAAAATCCTTTTTTTTTTAAAAAAAAAAAAAAAAGTTTTAAACGTCATTGGCATCAATCAAAACAGATCAACTAATTTGAATCAATTGCAAGACATCATGAATGAATCTCAAGAACTTGGCTTTACAATTATTAAAGAAAAGATAAGCGCATGGTACCCAATTCAGCATCAAAATTCCGATGAGACTTTTGAAATCGGTAAGAATAAAATTTATAAAGATATTTGACAATTTGAAATGCTTGCTTAACCGAATTAAAATATATTAATCAATTACTAGCATCCGAAGTCCTGAATTCCATATACCCATTCATGTCATCAAATACCAAAATCAATCGTGCAGATTATAAGACATTATCGGAGCAAATTATTAAAGAAATTGCTGTTAATAAATCATACAGTAAAACGTACAGGATGATAACGCAGAAGCAATGATAAACAATTAATATTTCAAATTTTTTTTTTTTTTGTACATAACGTATTTATATTATTTATTTGTACGTTTATTTCAGAATAAATGGTACTCCTTGTTGTATTGAAATGTTTTGATAACATAAACCTTAAACATATGATATTATACTTTGTTTATTGTGGTGCTTTCAAAAGTGATTCGAATTGTTTACCAGAAAAAGAAAAACAAAATGGAACTGCGTCACGGTTATTGTGATATAAATTTGGATGCCCTTTATTTTATGTCAAAGCAAAAAAAACTAAAGAAAAAAAAGTTCTTTGTGATAAATTCTTTTATTTACCATGGTTCAATCTACTTTAATTATGTATAATAGATTCAGTCTTCTACAGACCGGATTCCCGTTAGAAGGGTCGAGACCCATTATGATGATGTTCCTTAAAAAAAAAGGGGAAATAATCTAAATATAGAATAGCTTTGAAAATCGATCACAAACTTATTTGCGAACGAGTGATCAAAAGTGTGATTAACATAGAACGAATAAACATTTTCTAGATAATGCAAAGTGGGAAAGGGATTTTTGAGTGGAACGAACCTTTGATGTTTCAGACACAATACACAAACAAGCGCATGTGATTGCTAAATGTGGTTTAGGTCGAAAGATTCGAACAGCTACTACTCGGAATAAATGGGTGTAAAAAAAAGAAGCTGAATAGCCAAGAAGTTTTTGAAATTTATATTGAAGTGCATGACGGATTTTTTTTTTTTTCGCAATGAACGAACCGTTGTCTTAATTACAAAATCACCCTTTTTGTTATTTAAGCATAATAAAAAACGATCCGAAAATTCGGTTTATGATTACAACTCACTTTGCGCGATATCCTTTAAAAGATTAATAATCTTCCTGATGCACAAATGCAAGCAACTTTCGTTTTGAGCCAAACAATGTTTATTTCATCATAAACAAATGTAACACAGGCTCTAGTTTTCCTAATTCGGCCTAAAAATTACACATTTTAATTTTTGAAATTTTTTTCTTTTATTTCCCGCCAAAGGGTTTCATGTTAGAAAAAGACGTTAAGAATGGATTACCCTTGTCGAAATTATTTGTCTAAGAAGAAAAAATTGTCGATTCTAAACTATGAGAATGGCACGCCTTTTGAAATGCACCTAATAGAATCTAAAACTTTGTGCAACTCAACCAAAGTGTACTTTAAAAACTTCATCGAATTAATAAAAAAAAAAAAAAAAAACCTAAATCGTCAATCTTACTTCAAAATAATTATTTATTTTTAATTTTTTTAAAAAAAAATAGTTGAACCAAACTTGGAAAAGTCAATTTTATTAATATTATTTTTATTTTTATTATTATATTAAATCACCCCAAGTAGATTATTTAATTTAAGATGAATTCATTGGTGACACTTTTTATGAGTAATGAAATTATCATCACCCATACAAGTAATGAATCCATGTAAATCCGGGATATTTGTGTTGATTAATTATTATTCGAGGAAAACAAAAAACCTTACATCGATTGACGCATTGGAATTATTATTTCTGCAATAATATTTTTATTACGCTTCTTCCTCTGGTCTTCGTGTAACATCTCGATTTTACTATAATAACAGGCGGCCATGCCGCAAAAAAAAAAATTAATTTAAAAATAAATAAAAAACAAAAAATAAATTAAAAAATAAAAAAAATCTTTCTCCAACTTTCAGCGTGCTGGGTTTACTTGATGATACACGTCAGGTGAGGAAAAAAAAAAATTTTTTCTGTCTTCATTTTGAAACATTCTCGTTGAAAAAGTTCTGTAATATAAAAATTAATTATTCATAATACACTTATAGATTTTCCTCCTCCATTTATTAACATCACTTCCTCATTTCCGCTGATTCATTTTCCTTTTTTTTTTTTTTATTTTATTTCATTTTTGACGTTTTTTTTTTTTTTTTTGACCGCTCCGTCTTTTATCAGAGTAGAACAGATAATTCAATCTTTCGTAAATTCACGAATTGGTTTTTGAAATAAATGCAGTGAATGAATGACAATAAAAAAAAACTAGAAAAGTTTCAAAATAGAGAAAAAACCTTTATATACTTTAACCTTTTGGCTCCTTTGAATCCCAATAGCAGATTATATATTTCATCATCATAGTAGTAGTCTTAATAATATCTGAAATGATTCCATCGATAAAAGAGATAAATCAAGAACTTGTTCGTCGTTTATCTCACACGAGGTCATCCACGTCATCATACTTCACTGCTGCCGAACGAAGGGATAGAGATACTATTTTAAATGAAAAGAATTCTCGTAGGTATGCCACATACGAACTTAATTGGTATGACTTTAATAATATGGATGATCACGTTGTCTCTGAGGATCCGCAGGATGCATTCCCAGAACCAATGATAATACAAAGGTCAACTTCACCCACGAAGACCACCCCTTTCCCTTCCCCTACTTCAATAACATCATCGTCGTCATCAATTGAGGAAACACCACCAGAAACCGAAAAATTTGACAATGAAAATGATTCTGATAATGAAGAACGACAACCTTCCATTTTCGGTGGGATTACCGTAAAAACGGTAAAGGTGGTTCATGTGACCAACTCAAGGCACAATTCATTACAACCTTTACAACCTTCTCGTCGATCTTATACTCAAGATTACATTAATAATGATATCATGCAAGATGGACCGGAATTAATTAGCGTTATTACAAGAGGTTACCCTGAAAAATCCGTTTCTAAAACCCATTTGGAAAAAAAAAAAGCTCCTGGTATAAACGAATTAGACAGTAACGAGGATGATTCGAATACGCATCGCATGAAACAAAATACGTCAGCACTTTTGACAAAGGAAAGAAGGAAAACTCGTATATATAATCATGATATTAAAATTATAAATAGTGAAAGAATATTAAGAAGATCATTGTCTAACGGCGTAACAAGAACCTCATCCAAACGCCGATCCGGTGCTACAATTTATAAAAAACAACAAAAACATAAAACACGACAAGTTCAGCAAGAAGAAAAGATGGTTGCCGCACCAACATCGAACCATTATACAAATGACCCGACAGACATGGAAGAAGATTATGATGTCATACCAAATCCAACCAAATTTTTCCCATGGATACCAGTCCCGGAAGGTCCACCTAGGTTAATTCACGCTTCCCTCATACCTTTGGACCAGATCGATAAAGATGTAACCAGGTTTTATTTTGAAGAAGAAATACTTGCTCGGTATAAACCAAAACGAAAATCCAAAGTACAAAATTCGGTTCCTAAACCGAAAAGACCATCTCAAATTTTTAGACAAAATTTATTGGAACAAAGCCTTGCCATGTCATTTCAAAGTGGATATATACGTAATCCCCCCAAACCTAAAAGATCATCTATCAGACGAAGTGTTACCATGTCTCGACCTAAACGTAAAGAATCTCCTCTTGATGCTCCCAAACCGAGAAGACCATCTCAAAACTTTAGACAAAATTTATTGGAACAGAGTATTGCCATGTCACTTAATGAAAACGTTCATGCATTTCGACCTAAACGTAAGCAATCTTCTCCTCTTATTGCTCCCAAATCAAAGAGACCATTCAAAATCTTTAGACAAGGTGTTTCCATGTCATTTAATGAAAATGTTCAACGTAGACAATCTCCTCCTCTTGATGTTCATAAACCGAAAAGACCATCTCAAATATTTAGACAAAATTTATTGGAACAGAGTATTGCCATATCATTTAATAATGACTATGCTGTTCGATCTATACGTAAACAAACTTCTCTTTCATCGAAAATACCAAGACGTAGATTTTCAAGGAAGGGAAGTAATGCTAAATTAAATGATAAGGAAGCAAGAAGAGAAAGATATATGAAAAGAGCTGAAAAAGTCATAAATGAGGTCACTCAAAATCAGGCAGATAAAGTGAAACAAAAACCAATAAAAGTCTTGGAGATACCAAGGATACTAGATATTGATGAATTGAACAAGAGAGTTGAAGAGCAACTTCGTAAAAAAGCATGCTTACAGTCTCCCCAACCACCTCCAAGACAACCGGAGGTAGAATTAAAGAAAGTAGATGTGCGAAGAAAAAGATCCAAAAGCGCAACTTTCTCTTTAATAAATGTACGTGAACGTTCAAATGAACTTTCACAAGGAGAATCCCCGCCTCGTCTACCTAGTCGTCATATGTCACTTTACAATTCACCAATTCATATTCCTTTTGCTACCCACATCGTTTCATCTGCAATATTTTAACTTTGTAAATTTTGATAACAATGAACATTTGAACATTTGGCTGGAACATTGCAACATTTTTTTTTATTATACTATATACTTCCTTAAAGTAATGTATAAATATATTATTCATTTTATTTATTTGTATTTTCTTATTTCTGTATCTCTTTTTTATTTTATTGTGTCTTGCGTACTTACCGATTATATTCGCTTTTCGTATTTGATCGGTAACTTAAAACTTTATATATATTTATATATATTATTTATCAATCTGTCACCAAAAAAACAAAAAAAAATCTTTAAAAAAAGAAAAACTTTTTAAAAAAAGCTAAAGTAAATACAAAAAATACATATTCAATAAAAAAAAAAAAAAAAAAAAAAGAAGCATTTACATGTTAAAAGAACTTTGACGTTAAAACCATTCGATTGACCATTCAATTTTTATTATCTTTATTTGTCCAATGAATGCTTTTTACATGACGTTAAAAAAAAACATCCTACAACGGTTTAGTTAACAAGTAAAGTAATCACGATCCTCGGCTTGGAAAATAATAAAATTTGCATGCCGAAAAAATTTCCAAAGTGGGACGAGATTTATCGTTTAACCCTCAGGGATAAGGATATACACGATTACCCATTCATTTCGGCTAGCAAAATTACATAAGCGATTTTTCGAATGAAGCTTGTATCACCATTCAAAAGTTCAACTCCACGCTTAATTTTACCCTTTTGCCGAATCACAACGTTTTATCCCACTCCTGAATACAAAGGATAAATAATAACTTTGAGGAATGATTCCGATGCAAGCATGTATTTTTACAGGAGTAAAATTTATCGGTATGAAGAAAAGTGAATAATGAATAGAAAGTTTGAACTTTTTAATATGCAAATCACGTGAAATAGTCGTTATAAAATTATAAAATGTTATTTTTATTTATATAAAAGAAGAAAAGGCAAATAATGATCCATGACTTTTTCGAAATGATAAACGGTAGACTAAAAAAAAAAGAAAAGGAATAAGAAAAATACCACCTCACGGAAAATTTTTTTTTTTTTTTGTAAATCCATCTTCAAATTTATTTTCAATTCAATTTTAATTTATCATCAATTTGGTGAATTTGTTGCAATTTCGAGGCAATAGCCGGTTTATTAAAAGCTGCATGAATAAATGCACCTAAAGGTCGAAAATGAAATTAACACTTTTTTTTTTTTGCGTCCTTTTAAGGATATTAAAACTTGCCTAAGTGATAAACTCCGATACATAAAGAAACGCAGACGACATAACAACCAAAACGTTGCGGATCTTCCAACTTTCTCAACAAAGGATAAGGCCAATCACCAAAAGTGACAAAGTAAAAATTTATCCAAGCAACGTAACCGATGCCAAATGCTAATATATAAAGAACATGAGCGTAAGATTTTCTAAATTCCTTAGCGAAAAATAAGAAATCGGTCCATAAGCAAACTGCTGGAATCAAATGAAATCCAAAATCAATAAAGATTGGTAATCTATTATTATTATATTACAAAAGGGAGGGGAAAAAAAAAAAATTAGGTTTACAAGGGAAAAAATGTTTAAATAGAAATGCATTTAACCTTGGTTTTTCCATTAATAACTTTTCATCGTAAGTTATAATGGTCCAATATAGGACAGAAATTAATCCTTCCAACGGCACACAAATAACCATAAACCAATCCTTCAAGAAAGATATCACTAAATGATTAAAGGAAAGTTGGTATCTTTATTGTAACACAACAAGAGAACTCATTAAGATATTACCTCTAAAAGTGAAGAAATCATATAGCAATGCAAAAATAAAAGCGAATAAAGAAAAAAGTAATCCTACTATAGTCAAATGCTAAAAAGTTTCATAGTATGTTAAATTTCTTAAATATTTTCTCACGATCAATCCCTATTGTACTTACGGTGAATTGATAAATTAAAGTTTCTGATCTTTCTAAAGTAGGTAAGATAATAAATGAGTAGCTAAAGGAAGCAACTCCAAGTGCATGAAGGATCAATTGATAATTTATTAGTTGGTTTTTATTCATCTTCTCTTGTTTTTAAAGTTGGAAAGAGGGGTAAAGAGGCTTGGGAAGTGAGTGGGTAAAAACAGGACCTTTAAATGACCTTTTTATTATTGCCAAATATAGGTGAAAATCAAGAATTGTCACGAGTTTAAACTAGTATTATAAATGTTAAGATCTGACTGAAAACATATGATAGAATTTTGTATTATTGATATTTTTATATATTATATAATATAATTATCTGACGTAGATTTTTCCGAACGACTTTATTACACATCCTCACTGTATAAAAATTTAAATTTCACGTCATGGATTACGTTACGAATACGTATGTTTTCTTTACCAGGGCAGGAATTGACTTATTGGCAAGAAAAAGGGCGAGAGATAAATTACCAAAAACATTTGAAAAATTGAAAATGACAAAATGATAAGATCTTATTGATCCGTGCATTCAAAACGATCGGCAATGGATTCATGGTCTGGACTCCCACGCTGATTTTCGAAAATCGAAGATTATTCCATCTTTTTCCCGTAGAATCTGATTGATCTTATACAAGATTTCTGCAAATTGATTTCGGAATCAATCATTTCAGAAACCTTCTTTTTATATTCGTTAGCACTTATATTCATAACAGGTTGTATTATAGGTTGGATAGATTTGTAGAATGAGATAACATTATCTTTAGCCTAATGTCATTCGATGGAAGAAGGGGTGAATAATTTTCTGTACTAATCGATCATATCAAATAAAAGAATTTAAAATATAGTAATTACCAGATTGCCTAACGTTCCACCCCATGAACCGCACGGAATCAGCTGTTGTTGACGCGCTAAATTTGTTAATTGATTTGTGTTGAGAAGTAATTGCGATAGTTGTTGAGAAATTCTTGGATTTATCGTCAAAGAATTTAAAGAAGAAAATAACAATCTTTTCAATTCAGCAGAGATTTCGCCTTCATTATGGAATTGTAAATCGGTCTCCATCAATTCAATCCAACCGCCACGTTTTGTTATCCTACATAGTTCGGTCAATACATTCGACCATTGACCTTCTTTAAGCGACAAATTCATAAAACTTTGATAAACGAAATCAAAGGTATTATCGCTAAATGGTAATTGACATAATCCGTCATTATTAAATATATTCATTTGAATGAATTTCAGATTTGAAGGTTTAATATGTGAAGGGAACATGGGACAAACATCAATTCCAATGAAATTAACTTGAGGAAAATCTGATGCCATTTCTAGTAGAAATGTCGCTGGCCCACATCCCACGTCAAGGACCGTAACGTTACCGACACTATCACTAAGTAATTCTTCTACTGGGCTAGAAAAATTCCCTCCCCATGCGTACCTGTAAAGATAATGTTGAGATTGTAATCTGTTTATTTCTTCATCATCAATTGGTAATAGATAATTACAATTCTCGTCGTTAAGAAACCTTCGATTATCAATATATTTATATTTATCATATATATTATCGCTAGTATTACTGATAGGATCATTATCATCAATTTTTTTAGATTGACATTTTCCTAAACTCACACAATTTCCCATTTATTCTTTCTTTCTTTCTTTTTTATAAAAAAAAACTGGATTTAAATAAAGCAAAAGAGATTTCTCTATATAAATATATATACTTTTTTGATATCCAAGACAAACGCCATATGATGAGATATCGGAGAAAGAGAATTTAGGATTCAGCCGCAATTAATTTACACAAGGCCTAACAATCAAGCCATGAATCTAACAATAAAAAAGATTTGGCTTTGTTTATCGAGCGATTTGATAAGAAATTATGCAATACTTTGTTTGAAAAAGACCAATAATTATTACTCTACAAATCAATCAATCCGTTCTTTAAAAAAAAAAAAATCATAAAGTACATACATTCAAATTTAAATGAGATGCATAAGGATCTACAAAAAAAAAAAAAAAAATAAAAACAGAATTTTATTAAATCAATTAATTTTCTCTTGCTAATACGTTAACGGCTAATTCGGAAAGAAAAATTCACATCAAATGTTTGATAGAAAAAGGAATGTTCTCAAGCAAAAGAAAAGATTTTTAATCTTGTGGTAATTATCCGATTTACACAAAATAAATGATCCGAATCATTGATAATAAAACAAACATGACCTGATTGTTTATTTATTTATTTATTGATTATTTTGGTGTTAAATTACTTATGTATTAATCGATAACCAATAATAGATAATTTTTCATTTATTGATACCGTAAAATTTCCTTTTCATAATAATTCCAATCGGAGCTAATTAACTTTATAAAAATGTGTACGTGCGTCAGAAAGATTTTCTATGGTCCCAATTACTTTTAATCATTCAAGTAACCCAAATCTTTTAAAAATCCGCCTGCTTTTTCGGGAGGACGAGCGATAATGGCTCTACCGTTATTCCAATCAACCAGAATAGGCCTTTGCAATCTAATAGGTTGTTCTTTAACGAGATTAGCTAACTCTTGAATAGAACTTGGTCCTTTCACCTTGGTGGTTCCTTCAGCAGCAACATTTTCATTTCGTAAGATTTGATTTAAATCGTTTTCAAGATTAAGATAGTTGATAATATTGGTCAATTGATCTTTGGTGGGTGGTTGTTTCTGATAGTCTAATAAATCCAATTTAAAAACGCCTGGTCGTTTTTCTAACGCTTCATGAAGAATTGATAATACCTTGTTTGATTTACTACATGTTGGATTATAGATTAATGTCAAAATTGGTTGCGCAAAATTTAAACGAAACGACATTGTTGAAAAGAGAGAGGTTGAGAGCTTTGAAAAAAAAAAAAAAAAATTAAAAAAATAAATAATAGGCCCCTTTTTTAAGGACCATTACACAAACATTATGCAATTTCATGTGACACCGTCGAGGTGATTTGTGATATTTGGTAATCATGTGATCATATTAAGTCTTTTTAAGTTTAAACAAAATTCTAGATCGCTACAGAACCTGCTCCCGTAGCAAAGTGGCAATGCGTCGTGCTTATAGGTTAGTAACCTATACTTGAGCAACGCGAAGGTCGCGAGTTCGATCCTCGCCGGGAGCACATTGATTTTTTCTTTTTTTGAAAATGGTTAAGATTTGCTGTTGGTGATATGCGTGGCGTTTTATAAACACACCAAATAATTAATTATTTTTTTTTTTTTTAATAACAAAATTTAATCCATATCATAAAAAATAATAAACTTCAAACATAATATTTTGATGAAATAGAACTCTGATTTGGAAGAACGAAAAACTGTAAATAAAAAGGATTTAGCTTATCATTTCTTTTTACGAAACTATAGCGTCTTCTTGCAGTTAATAAAATTTCCTTATAATAATCATTTTCTTCATGGGACATTGAAAACAAAGTTTAGCAATTTTCACCACATTTAGGAGATAGTAGCATGCAAGATTTTACTGGACTTAATAATTAACGTTAATCAGTGGATTTATACAAATCAAAGTGTCAAAGCAAAGGGCCAGTGGAATGATTGCAAATAAAATCATCAAAAATCAAAATTTAAGATAACTTTATTTTCTCGTATTCTTGCTGCATTTAATGTATTCAAAAGATAAATAAATAAATAAACACTGGAGCTTTCCATTTGTAATTCATTTTTCATCATCGTCAAAGATAGATAGGATGGCTGTACGTCTGCGGGAAGTCTTATACCGATCAAATCTCGATGGTTAAACAAACCAGTGTGCGCACAAAAAATTGTTTTTGCATACGAAATATGCATATTATTATTCATTTAATTGGAAAAAGATAAATTTTACTACATGAATAACCATGTTTGATGTTTATCAGGATGTCAACTTCTTCAATAAACTTTGGCGTTAATGCATCAAATGAAAATTTTTATTCCATTTAGGAATATTGAATAACGAAAAAATTTTAAAATTAATAGCCGCAGAGATCGGCATCTTTATTACTGCACTCGGAGAAAAGTTGCCCAATCATTACAAATATTTACTGACCGAAAACTACTAATCATATTTTTTAGATAATTGAGATTGATAAAGTAATATATACATACATTTGTTTTGAATAATGTGCAATTACAAAACAACGTGTAAAAAAATATAATATGCAGGAAAATATGATGTCATTAAGTGTTAAAATGCTAGAATGGCATGTCAAAGATGAATGAGAAAGAAATCATTGGTTTTCTACATTATTAGTGAATTATTTTTTGTGTTATCATCCGATATGATTTACTATATGTTTTATTTTCAGCAATCTCTACAATCGTTTGCGCTGATAATTTTGTATAATCTTCACGATTTAAATCTAGACGTTTGGCCATGCATGGATAGACTAAATCTAGAAATTCGCTTACTATAAAATTGAAATGAAATGAGTTAATTGATTAAATATGGATTTTTGAATTGATAAATATCTTAAAATCAATTTACCGATTTCGTAAGGCTCATCAGAATATTTAGTTTGAATTGGATACCAAGGACAAATCTTTTCTTTAATAGTCGTAAAATTAAGTTCTTGATATGAATTCACTATATTTTGTAATTTATTCAAATTAGGTATTTTATTGGAAGAGATACCGGTTGCGCTTAACCCTTTATTTTTTAAAACAAAATAAAAATAATTAGCAAATATTAGAAGAGTGGTACAATGTAAATACCATCTTAGAATTGTTGTAACTTACATTTTTTACTGCAAAGCTCTGTTTTGGGTCCAGCATTATATATCCTAAAATCTGAATCGATGATCTAATAAAAAGTTGTAGAGAACGATTATTAGTTTTATTTTCACGTGGAAGCAAAGGGAATGGTTGCAAGATATTCACATACTTCAATCCAACCACCAGGTTTGCAAACTCGAAAAATTTCTGGCGCGATAAGGTTCTTCCATTCGACACACGTAAAACATTTCGTCATAATGTTCATATAAATAAAATCAAATGTATTATCCTCATATGGGATACCATTTTTAAGAAAATTGTGCGTAATAAATTTTAAATTCTTATTGTCTCCTGAAATAAAAGTTTCCTTGTGACCTATCCCCACAAAAGAACTTTTTGGATATTCATTGCAAAGATCATTGAGCAAAGATTTTGTGCCATATCTTTTGTAAAAGGAATTATTTATTAATTCAATGAGGAATTTAGGCAAAATTCTCCTGAAAAAAAAACAAGATTGATACATACCCAAGGCCAAGTACTTTTGCACCATTATGTAAATTCTTTTCTACTGGTGAGGAAAAATTTCCCTTCCAAATAGTTCGTTGGAATGAATGCAACAAATCCCCAATTCCATTCATTTGATTGTCTTTAAGAACTTCATACTTTTCATAGTGATTATTAAAAATTTGTTTTCTAAGTTTCTTAATGATACATTTAGTTTGTATTGTTTCGATATAATCAAAACAGTCTCTAGGTTTTTCTAAATAATTTCCCATTATTAATTTATATCTATGAAGAGAAGAAAAGATCCGAATATATTTATATTTATAAAAAAAAAAAAAATAAAATAAATAAATAAATAATAATATATATATATATATAAATATATAAATTTTTCTTTTTTAAAAAATTTATTGAACGAGTTTTTCAACGGATTGAAAGAGTATTTATATCAAAAACAGTTTTATATTATTGGTTCCAAGTTTTTACTTAAGAATTATATAACAAATTTGTCTCCCGATTTGTTGTCAATCAGATCGTCAAATCGGAAGTAAGTAAATACAGTTAGTGACTTATGACAAAGCGAATCCTTTCATCCGAAAAAAACCACTTTTGGGGACTTCTCAAGAAAATTTTAGGAGGAAAAAAGGATTTAAAAATGATAAGTTGAGAAACAGGAAAGCATCTTTACGAAAATGAAGATGTGAATTACAATTAAAAGGAAGATGTGCTCAAAGAAAGGGGAACACATCGGAAGTTTCCAATCATGTTATAAATCTACAATTATTTGACCCAGATTATACCATACATAGGTATTTTGGTTGGAAAAGCTTTATAGCCTTGACCGACTATCATCAAAACTTCTAACAACCAAAGATCTAATCCGTTTCTACACAATCCTGTTTTAGTGGAGGTCTAGATTAAGCTTTGCATTCTGTGTCACTCATACATGATACCATAGAGGTAGTCGATATTTTATTGGTTTGAGCATGCATGCACATTAACATCGCATAACGTTCGATCGAAGATATATTTGTTGAGATAATCAAGTCAAGCTTTCTGCTCAGGTGATGGAAATACTTGAAACGCTAATGGGTGGGTGGTATTGGTAACCGTCTGAGAACATGTGAATAATTTTTTTTACTAAAAATTTGAATGATATGATCTATGCAAGGTTAAAATCATAGTCGAAAGAACTTGACTCGAGAGATTCAATAGCCATGAGTCATAAAGGCATTTTAAGCCAAAACAGAATAATCAGTCAATGCGTTGAAGCCAAGATATCTTTATCAATAATTACAATAATTAATAAACCTCGGCAATTTATTAAAGGATAAAGATCATATGACATTTATTATTTAATAGTTATAAGCTGGTCGTGATTAACCTCTCGCATTTGGCAGAATTCTAACTTAAAAAAAAAGATTTTTCCTTTTGCGATAAAAAAATCATTTTAACCAATAAAAAAGAAAATCCTTGCAATGATTATACATTATGTTAACATAAATGGGTATTATGAGGATTGAATATCAGAGGAACGTGAATGTCAAAATGATTTGAAAACCTTACGTAATGATTGATAAGCACAGACCATAAAATTTGCAATTCAATATATTTTTCATGTAATTGCATTTACCTAAAAACTTAACTGTACAA